TAGTGTCTGGGTTGTTTTGGATCCCGGTCCCTGAGAAGCGTCTCCCTCGCCGCTGTGCACGTCCTGCTTTGATGAGCTCCTCGTACAAAGTGCCTAAACGGGTATTTTTTCACTTCCCAGAACCTACAAGCCACCCCCATTCAGCGTGGGATGAAAAAGGCACGGAGTGTATGTCAAACCGTGACTGCCAGTTCTCTGGTGACCCTCATTATTTATAACCTGTCAAGGCATAGGAGTGCAATTCACTAAGCAGTTTCTTGAAATATGCAGAGAATATGGGTTTTGTTTTATGGAATTTATGTAAATTTACATAATTTCACATAAATTACATTAAAAAAGTGTAACAAGTGGCTTGTTACAGATTAAAAACACCTTATTTAGTCTCTCATGGGTAATAATGACTAGGTTTTTTTGGCCACAAACTGCCTACACTGTACAATAAGGTGAAGCAGAAGTTAAAGGGTAGATGTCTGACACACAGGTGACACCTTGGGCAGGGGACTTACTCTCTTCTTGTCCTTATTAGGCTATCCCACATAGGTGCTTGGAAAAACAGAACTGAACTTACTGAAGGCTTCAGTGAAGATCTGATGTGACATTTAACTGTATTAACAGAACTTTAAGGATTTTTTTTCTTTAAGAGGGGGCATTATTAGAAAAAAAAGAGAAGTACATTGGCTGCCAAAGTATTATCAGAGTTTCTAAGATAATGTTCATTGGGACATAAGACTTTCTGCTGAAATTGACAGTTCAGTCACTAGTACAATGAAAAGGCGTTCACATTTAAACTGACAAGAAGAATGAACTAATGTTAAGAAAGTTCTGGTTTTATATTTTATGAATGAGATGAAGAATGTGTAGAGGCCGATCTCGGTCCTCCTCCAGCAATTTATGTTCTGTCATCTTGCCTTTCAGGAGTAACAGCAGTGCAATGCTAGGTGGATCAAATGAGGGTAAAACGATGGTCAATTGCTAAATACTTTATAAACTTTCAAAGGAGACCAGGCTTAGATGTATTCTCTTTGTCTCCTGTTTTATTTTATCTGTTGCATTTATTTTCACATATTTTCATTTATTAGAGCAGGAACAGCCCAAGCTTGTCTAACTACTTCTGCCATTTGAAAATACCTTTTTGTCAGCACTCACCAAGAGAAATAAATGCCCTGCTCCAATTGTGGTGGATATTTACTGTGCATAAACTCTCTGTGTATGTGTAGATAATCCTCTTTGTGATGTATAATAAACATCATAAATGCATATGTTTTCCTGTAACAAATCTGTTTGCAGGGGATGTGATCAGCCTTGGGGATCGACAGCTCACTGTTATGCACATGCCTGGTCATTCAAGAGGCAGTATTTGCTTACACGACAAGGACAGAAAGATTTTGTTCAGTGGAGATGTGGTGTACGATGGATCCATGATTGACTGGCTTCCCTACAGCAAGATCAGCGACTATGTTGCAAGTTGCCAGCGCCTTATGGAGTTAGTGGACAGAGGTCTTGTGGAAAAGGTACTACCTGGGCACTTTAACATATTTGGGGCAGAAAGGCTATATTGGTTAGCTTCCAACTACATTTCCCAAGCTGGAGTTTGTCACAAGATTTCTACTTGTGCCATGAGATCCATTGCGAGCATAGCACTTCACATTACAAATTCAAGAGTCACTTCTCAGTGACAGTCAGTTTTGTGTGATTTCTCACCTGCTGTAAAACCAAATGGCTTGTGAAAGCGTTGATAGAAGCAAAAGTAGAATGCGTTAGCAAAAAGATGGCAAATTGATAGCAGATGAGCTGCAAAAATTCTCCCTGTTTTGGCCAACTTTATTAATATTTTTATAAAAACTTTGTTAGCTAGTAGCTGTAGTCAAAGCTATCATTTTTCTTTCTATTTTTTCAAGGCACGTTTGCACATGTATTGTGATTGAAATACATAGTTTTATTTTTGTTACAATTCTGATAAATGGATATATGGCAAAATAGCATGTTTTACATTCATGCCTGAAACCTTGTTGATGTAGCACTAGGCTTGTGATTATTCATCAAGTTCTGCTCAGATCTCTTGCCTAAGACCTAGAGTGTGCTGGGAGCAGCACCATTAGGTCAAAGCAAGAGCAACACCTATCCAGGTCTCAGTGGGCAGGAAGAGATATATAGGCCATTCTGCAGCTGTTGCCTCCTGCAGAGTGGGGTCTCTTGCACCCCTTATCACCTGCATGTTTATCTTTGCAAAGTCGCTGCATGGCAGTTTCTTTAGAATCCACTAACACATGAAAATGTTATAGACCAAACTTCCAAGCTGGAAGTCAGAGATACATCAGCTTACCCAAAAAGTTTTTGATGTGGATCCAACAGCAGATGGACTGTTGAGGCTTTAGTTTCCTGGTGTGTTGCAAGAAACAGCTGTATCATGCGACAGGAGCAAGCAGGAGCACTCACCATCAGATAGGGAACTGTTTTGCTTGTAGGTATATGAGTTAGGAATTAGAGAAGTCATGGACTAATATATGAATGTGTTAGACTAACGTGTACAAGTGGATTGAGCCTTTGCTTGATGTGTTTATTTTTTTCTGTTGAGCTCATTAAACAAATTATTAACAGTATTCTAGAAAATCTGGAAATTTGAAAGAACTGGACTGTGACAAGCTTAAAGGTTTTATTTGTGTTTGAGTATTTTTATGTGACTATATTGTAACTTGGTTGTTAATGATCTGTGGTAGGGGAAGGATAGAGGCTTTAACATGACCTTGCCATACCACAGGTGCAGTATTAAACAGTCAGTACACTTGTTAGCACAAATTGAATGTAACTGGAGCTGTTTGATGTTTGCTTCTGAAGTGTGCTGTACATGGTTTTTATGAAATGCAGTGTATTGCATTTGAGTCTATTCCAAAAAACTATTTAATACATTGAGAAATGCTAAATGGCATTGTAACTTGCTCATGAAAATTGACTGTGTGATACTTAAAAGCTGTTGAAATGATTAGAGTTTGTAATTATTCTAACAGTATATATATTTATTTAACTTTTTTAAAGGGATGTTGTCTGATGTTACTTTTGTACGTAGACATATATCTGTTCCTAAAAAGAGTGCAAATGTTTCTCCCAAATTTTAGTGCAGTTTAACCTTTCTTGTTTGGCTTTCACTTTATGCAGAAGCTTCCCCTCGCCTCCCCACCTTGCATCATAGCCAACAGAAAGGGAACCCAAAGTTTGGGCTGTCTTAAGACAAGAGGGAGAGGAGGTTGATAGTGTTCTGAATAGGTGCAAATTCTGGTGAAAAAAAAGCCCCAAACAACTGCAAAATTAAAAGCATCTCTCTAAAAATAATGAAAGAAACTATCTTATGTAGTGCTTTTTCCCTTTCACAGATCACTGCACTCATGCCTTTACTATCTGAATATTCTTCACCAGGATTTGTACTGATTGGTTTTGATGTGTCTAGTTCTTGTTAGCAATACCTGCTCCAAGCTGAAGCAAAACTGTGAGTGCATGGGACATGTGCAGAGATGCAGCTCTTGAAAGACCTGTTATCACTCAGATTGCAGTCTCTTTTTTGGAGAAATCCGTGTACATTAGTGTATGACATGAGGAGTGTTCCATGGGGAGACTGGTATCATTGAACCAAGAGCTTTTTATCTTGGCCTCATTTGGCCAGAGAAATAAATACAAAAAGTTAGCCTGGGAAGCAGGAGAGCCAATCAGGGAAGAGGTCCAGAACAAACTCCACAGTGTGTTTTTCCCAACAGTTACCCAATAGTAACTGAATTTCTTCAAAATAGCCATCTGTGGTTTATTACCAGTAATAATCGTGCTCCATGCTTTTGTCAAGGCTGTAGGGAGCACTGGTTATAACCCAATGCAGTAATGTAAGCAGGTCACAAAGCCTGCCAATGTGTTTGTCAGTTTTTGCAAATATTCACTAGGAGAGTGAGATCACTTTGAACTGGCATTCTGTGTTATACTACTATCAGTTTGTTTATTTGATCCAATATTAGAGTCTCTGTAGCCAGATTTTACTGTATTGTAAAGCCTGAGCTCCTCAGAGAAGACTCATAGGCATGTCAGTTCCAAAGGAAAGATAACCTCCATCCTCCATAATTTGGGTTTAAATCTGTGCTCATTATCAGCTACAAGATCCTTAAATGTCGAGATCATTGTCAAAATGCCCTAATAAACCACACTTAAGGTCATTAAGTATATGTAGATAACCGCAATTGCCTGTTTTTTTTCCTTGATCAAAATCTAGGGGATAATTTCCTAGTCTAGAAGTGAGCTTTACGTGAACATAAACCAAAGTGAGGCTTGTTAGTAAACTGTTTTGGTAATCCAATTGAAGGTAGTTTTTGAGAGTCATGAAATTATTTTTTTATTATAAGAAATTCACTACTAGATAAATATGTCTAAAGTAAAAAGAACTGCTCTGATTATTTTTGTTAAGATTTACCAAATTTTAGTTATGTTTGACAGTGACTCTTTAACATTATGCAGATTGAATATTTAAAATATGCATTGTAAGTTTAAATATTGCAACATTTTGAGCATTTAGAACTGTGTTAATTTCTTTGTAAAATCAAATATATGTCAATGCAGTTTTAGTAGACTGGAGAACTGAAATAAAAATCAGATGGGAAGTTTTGTTCTGTAGTATGCCAAGACTGTTGTGATGTTAAAAAACAGTATATGCATAAAAATTAATTTTTTAATAAATATTCATGCAGGAATTCATGTACAAAAAGGTGATGACCATTATTATCTCGTGAGTGACTCTAGAATGTCCTTTATTATTAACACCACCTATTATAAGCATCTACTTATTATTGGTTAACTACTATTACTAGACTGCCTTACACACAATATAATTGGTTATTAACATATCAGTCATAAAATGCTTAATCATTATTCTCCACCCCTATCTTCAACTTCTGCATTCCACACCCGGGAGTCGTTTACCTTGCTACCTTCTTTCTCATTCCAGCTGCAGCTGCGTCCTTGACTGACTTAGCTTGCAGCTTGTACAGGCCCCGCTAGCAAGGCTGGATTGCTCATATGTCCGTTAGCAATCAGAAATTCTCCCACATAATAAAAATATTATAATCCTATGCATTTAAGTCATAATTGCTAGTATGTTTCAAGATAAGCACTTATGCATTCTAAATGGAGTGCATTTACAAGTTGCTAGCATAATTGCTTACGCTTCTGAGCAAGAGACTGCATGAGAAATGTTTACACGTCGTAGACTGATAATCATTAATAGGTGCTGTGTTGTGAGGTGGCTATCTCGGATGAGTAAGGGGTCTTTATAATACATACGGAAATGAAACAGTTCAGTACTGCAGCATCTCATTTTATTTTTACATCGGTGAACATCTCGATTTGCTGTCATAACCCTGTGAAAGGAACATGGGATATTTCTGCTAAAAAGAACATTCTCAGAGACAGGGAAAAAACAAAAAAGCATCCTAACTGTTAAATCTTATGATGATACAAAGCAGAGCACAGGGTGAGTTTTAGAACAAGTGCTGTTAAAGTCTAGTATATTGTAAGAGCAGGACATCTCTAGCCAAATGAAACAAAAAATGCAGCTCTGTTAGGTAAGAGAGAGGGAGATAAAGATGAAAGCAAAGGAGGAATTATTAATATTTTACATTGAAAATCTAGGTCTCAGAATTCAACACTGTTTCAAGTTCTTATTTATAATCAATGCATGTATTACTTAAATCATTAAGGAGTACCTTTTGTGTCTAAAAATTCAACCAAGTATCATCCAAATCAACTTCTTCAGTCTCCTCACTTCCAGATTGAATTAGGAGGCACAGAAACGATTGAGAAACAGTCATAAAACACTTGTTAGGTTTTATTTTAAATATATTTGAAGCCAAATATTATATAGGAGAGTTTCTGGTAAAAACCTGTTAGGCTATGTTTACAGTGTACTCACTGGCACAGCATAGGGTTATGTAGTCAGAAAGCAGTTTAGCATTCTGAGGTGCATTGTGAGTCCAAACGCTAGTGTGCTGTTAAATCACTTTACTACCAGCTTACGCATTGCCTTGTGTAGTGTAATCCTACCTCAAGTCAACGAATGCTTCTACAGTGTGCAAAGGGGTGGAATGTCCCTTCCCTGCCCCTCCTGTATATATTCCTACTAAACGCCGTGCAAGCACCACTGCCTACGTGCCGCCTGCGGTGCGAGGGCTGGAGCAGGATCAGACGCCACATGGTGGCTGAGCGTCACAAGGACAAGCAGAAGTTGCCTTCAGAGCAGGGGCTACATTTACCGTGAAAATAAAACACGAAGAATTGGAGATTAAACTAGAGAACAAGGGTGTTATAAACCTGCTTCTTGCTTTTGCTGTGCTATGCCAAACCATTTTCAGCACATGGTTACTCCAGCTATTCAGTTTTTATTGCACAGGCTAATCTCACCTGTTTAAAAATTGTTAAAAAATTAGTTTAAAAACTGACTTTGTGCATGTTCCCATATATGCCAACCTGTATCCTAGGAAGGTGGTGGGGCATTCATCAGCAATTAAAATTGGAAAAACAAACAAGGGCTCAGGACCTTGGCCAATACTTCTGTGACTATACTAGAGCTAGAGAGCCAGGCATTTCCCAGCACACGGGAGTACATCTACAATCATCAAACTGGCAAGGAGACATGTTTTTAATATGGCTT